TTGTATAGAATGAAAGCTATTAAAGCTGAATTTACGTTATTATGTACACACACCCCACACATTTACGGTTCTGAGATGATTTCATTCACTGTTCACATGCCTAAACAGGTACACATCACCCCCGTCACCCTGTGAAACAGACAAACAAATGGAGACGAGATGGAAAAAATGTTGGTTGTTAATATCGGCTCAGTTTTATTTATTAAACCGATATCGATATGTTAAATGGCTAACATCGGCTGATACCGATACAATGCTACAATGCTAAAAATCTAATGTTGAAAAAAAGATATTTTATTTTGAAAGTCAATAAATTCAATCCTAATAAATCATAAGAAATTGTATATCATCATCATCATCATCATCATCATTGCTTTACTTTTCGTAGCTACAACATGTTTTTCCCTACAGAAAGGAAGACTAAAAACATTGTACTGATTATTCTGCAGGTTGAGTTATTATATGAATTTGCAAAGTTCAAGCACATTTTCTCTGTGATGCAACAGTTCTTCTTGTGATTGTAGTATTTTTATAAAAATAACGAATGTGTTTATATTCCAGTCGTGTCAGAGTCGTATTTAGATCACAGAATTACGCAAACAACAACTACTAAAGGCTGCATTCCTTTTTATTTCTTCATCTTCTTTCCTTCTCAAGAACCATGAAACATTTAATTATCTCATGCAACACCTCCCAGTCTCTCAGCCTCCTTGAGATGGCCTCTTCTCTTCGTCATCCTTGTTTCAACAGACATAGCTGTGGATGTGACGGGAAGGAGTTGGAATGTTTGTTTGTGGGGGCTGGATTCAGACGATGGAAAATCTGGCAGCCATCCAGATGACTCACTATTTTTTTCCTCCTTGAACATCATGATGGATCAAAACAGCATCATCGCGATCACATTTGGTTTCAGTTACTGATGCAGATGTTTTCTGTACCTTTAATTCTTAAGAAACCTCACAATTATGGCTAATTCATAGAAGGGAAAGAGAGGGAAACACAAGAACACATACCGTAAATCCTCTAATATTGGCCTGTATTCAACTAACGGCCGGGTATCATATTTTGGCCGGTGTCGGAGTCGGCGGATGTGAATAATGGCCGGTATTTTATTGTGGCTGGGTGGAATGTGGTAATAAGCAAGTACCACGGGGGGGTGGGGGGGGGGGGGGGTGGCGGGGGGGGGGGGGGGGGTTGTGTCATCCGTCTCACTTTTGATTTGCCAGTGATAGACCGCGAGGGTGACTTTAACCGTGCGGAGACGAAGAGGAGGCGAAAATTTGATATCAAGTTCAAAGAGAACGTGCTGATTATGCTGCAGAACACTAGGGAGCAATAGGGGTTGTATGACCTAGTCACTAGTCGACTTCACTATGGTGACTTTTTATGCCTGTCATCGACAAGTCGCTGTCACGTGATAATGACCGGCAAGATGCAGTCCACGGAAAAGACAGCAGCCTGCTGTCAGCAGGTGACGAGCTCCTGCGTGTCGGGAGGCAACGCGCCGTGCCAGAGCGTCGGTACTGACACCCGCCGTAAAACGGACATTTAACCAAATTGTGACGTTTACCCTCTTGCAATTTAACCTTCCCCTCACCCCCATCCTAACCTCATATTAACCAGCTTGCGCATGCAAAGCTCTGATTGTTGACGCGCTCCAGACATCTGCGTCCTGAGCACGGCCACAGTAACATTATCAAATCAGGTGTCGCCACCTCAAAAACACACGCAATCGTTCATGTCGGCTCATTTCCTTTAATATCTTAGGTGTGTTCTTGCTGTGTCTTTCTAAATCCATGCTTTCGTTCTTTTTTAAACATAGAAACAGTTTTGTTTACCTGTTTGTAGCTACAGTTTCGCCGACGGCTGCCGGCTTCTTCAGGCTGACGCTGTTGGTGGCCATTGATAAACAAATGGAGGAACTAATTAAAGGACACATGATGGAAAAACAGGAAAAAGAGTTCATAAAAGTAAAAGAAAGACACATAAAGAAGTTAAACAGACTCATAAACAAGAAAAAGAGGGGAGAAATACAAGGCAACTCCACACCAAACTCATGGGTATGTAACATTTCACAATACAAACTAACAGAAGCAGAAGAGAGCATATTAAAGAAAGGTTTAAACTTTGCAGTCACACCAAAAGAAATACCATATGATGAATTTATTGTAGCAACAGAACTAGCATGTCAACAGATCACAGATGAGGGAAAGAAAGCAGAACTCAGAAATAACATAGTTGGGATATTAAAAAACAGCCAAATTCAACACAGCAATATTACAAAAGAAGAACAATCAGCCATGACAGCCTTATCCAAAAATGAACAGATAATTATTCTACCGGCAGATAAAGGAAGAACCACAGTAGTTATGGACAGAGAAAAATATAAACAACAGATGAAACAGATGCTAGAGGACAAAAATACATATGAAATACTTAAAAAAGATCCAACAGAAAACATTAAGAAAAACATGAAAAAATTACTGAAGCCACTGCACGAAAAAGGCAAAATAACAGAAAAAATGTACAAACACTGGATTCCTACAGCAAACATAACACCAAGAATATATGGAACGCCAAAAATACATAAACAAATCACCCCACTTAGACCAATAGTTGACAGCATAGGTACACCAACATACAACATGGCAAAAGATATCAGCAGAATCATCAGCCCGTTATTAGGAAATACAGACCAACACTGCAAAAATAGTATAGAATTGGCAAAAGAACTAAAGGAAATTACAATAGAAGACAACGACATACTCATCTCACATGACGTCACATCCCTGTTCACAAAAACACCAACCCAAAAAACCATAGACATAGTAGTTAACAGAATCAGACAAGACAAAACTTTACACAAAAGGACAAACCTCACAGCAGACGACATAGCACAACTGATAGGACTGGTAGCTAACTCCACTTACTTCACATACGATAACACAATATACAAACAACTGGAAGGCTTTGCCATGGGTAACCCGTTATCAGCCACCCTGTGCGAGTTTTTCATGGAAAACCTAGAGCAAAAAGCCAAAGCCACCGCCCCCCCAAACTGCAAAATAAAACTATGGAAACGCTACGTGGATGACATACAGGAAATCATACCAAAAGGTCAAACAGAAACACTAACACAACACTTAAACAATATTGACGACACAGGCAACATAAAATTCACTTATGAGTTAGAAACAGAAGGCAGCATAGCATTTATGGACATGAAAATCACCAGGCAGACCGACGGGACCCTAAACATAAACACATACAGGAAACCAACACACACAGACCAATATCTATTATGGACACCAGAACACCCCACCATACACAAAATGTCAGTAATCAGAACATTATATCACCGAGCAAACATAATAACAGAAGAGAGAGACCGTAAACAAGAGGACAAACACATACAATACGCTTTAAAGACCTGCGCATACCCGACATGGGCAATAAACAAAGGAAAACAACAAACAAAAACAGAAAGCAAAGAACAACCCAAGAAAAGAACCAGAAACCCAGAAAGACAAGAACCAAAACCAGTGATAACCCTACCATACATCAGAGGCATAACGGAAAAAATAAGAGCAACAATGAAAAAACACAACATAAACACACCAACAAAGCCATACACAACAGTTAGAAACAGATTAGTACACCCAAAAGACAAAATATCAGCTGGACAAAAATGTGGAGTCATCTACGAAATCCCATGCAAAATATGCAATAAAACATACATAGGAGAAACCGGACGCCAACTCAATACACGGACAATAGAACACAGAAAGGAGTGTGAGAAAGAGGCAAATCGTAAACACACAAGAGCAGCAAAAGAAGAAGCAGAAAGTACAATAAAAAAGTCAGCCGTAACAGATCATTGCTTAAGAGAAAACCATATAATGGACTGGGATAGCACACGGATCATAACCACCGAACAGCAAAAATACAAAAGATGGATCAAGGAAGTAATCGAGATAAGGAGACGTGGATGTGGGACCATGAACAGGGACGACAGAGTTTACACGCTGGACCACGCATGGGACTGCATCGTCGGAGAGGGGAGAGCGGGCAGTAGAGGGCGACAACGTCCTCTGCTGCCCGCAGATAAACGGAGAAGGAAGTGACGCGCCACCATCAGCGTCAGCCTGAAGAAGCCGGCAGCCGTCGGCGAAACTGTAGCTACAAACAGGTAAACAAAACTGTTTCTGTGTTTAAAAAAGAACGAAAGCATGGATCATTTCCTTTAATGTTTTCTGTCTTTTATTTGCGCCTGATGTGTTTCGCTGCTGTGGAGCGGGGCGCATCACCTTGTCCTCTGGTGACGCACCGATCACTGATGCGGCCACCAAGCAGCGAGCACTCCGCTGTTTTTGCGGTCGGTAGATCTTTAAGAACTGCAGTTCAAAAGTAACTCATGAGGTGAATATATATGAACCCAGGCAGCAGTTTTTCTATAGGATTGAGAGGAGATGCAGGAAGATAATAAACAGACAGGACAGAAAAATAGTCAAATAAAAACAAGTTAATTTTTGTACCTGGTGGTTGCAACAAACAGACACCATTGAAGGTAATCAGAAGTGAGGAACAGAAAATGAAATAATTATTTTAATGTTTAGAGCAGCAGGAACTCCGAGAGGCTGCAGGCGCATCAGTGAGTTTGCGGCCGCTGCGCAGGGGGAGGGGGGAGAGGGCTGAAGCAGAAACTACCGTCGTTAAAAGAAATGTGTTTCACTTTGAAAATGTGGGTGCAATTTTAATTGTCAAAAACTCCAGCGAACCATTAGTTCATTTTGCTCAAATAGAAATAGAGGCCTGCCTCTAATTCTGGTCCTCCTTCCAATAAAGGCCTGGAGCTTGATGAGCTTGAGTCAAATACAGGCCCGGGCCTGTATTAGAGGATTTACGGTAGTTCACCTTGGTTCTGGTGCAAACCTCCCAGTTATTGCTTTGGTTGGTTGAGCCCCTCCTCCTCCAGACCTTCCACTATAAATACACCTGTGTCTCTTCTGTGTGGCTGTTCAGGACTTCTGCATCAGAAACAACTTATTCAACGAACAAAAGGATCCAAACGCCACTTCTAAGGCATCAGTTTTCAACAAAGGTAGGTTTGGATTAAATCTTCTGATTTCAAATTTTAAGCTTGACCTCTCAAAAGCAGCAAATCACCCATAAGTGTTAAAAAATAACGGATGAAAGGATGATAAAGGATTACAAAGAAAAATGTAATTTAAAATAACAATTTGAATTGAAAAAAATCACATATTTAAACAGAATCTCTGTGCTGTTTTCCAAGATTCTGATAAACCTTTGTAAGTATTGATTTATTTAGAAAATAAATGTGAGATTTATTAGAGTAAAATCAGAAAATACGTTCAGATCTACTGTTAGTCCTCATTAGTCTGTTCTGAAGGTTTTTTGGGTTGGATCATAGTAGCCTCAAATGTCAGGAATAAAAATATAATTCCTCTTTAAATACATAAACAATAAAGCATAACACTGCTTTATTGTTTTTTAACAGTTTTGGTGAAAAGAACAGTTTTAATAATAATTAACACATTTTTAATGCTAACAAACTGCTAAAAATATTAACGTTTATCCAAAATATTATATTATTGTTTAAAAAATGTAAAAGTTTTTTATTTGTTATTTTTAAACAACTGAAAACATTCCTCAGAGCAAAATGCGCCTAAGCCATAATTGAAGATGTTGTTTTATATAACCCTAACCCTAACCTTGAAGCTGAGATGAATATTTATATTTTTGAAGTTCTTCAAGATTTTTATGTTAACAACTTGAAAAATGGAAAACTTTTAAAGTTAGAAAATAAAAAAAATATTGGTGACGGAGCTGTCTACAGCTGGGGGTTTGAGGGAGTGTTCCTTACATTCCTAGGCCGAGGTCGTTGGGCCTGTTGGAACACGACATGTAAACGTAGCCCTGAGCCACAGTTTCTGTGAAGACATGTAGAAGATCATTCTGTTTTGGCGCCTGATGACAAAAACAAAACAGACACGGGCGTCAGATCAGCAGTAAGATAATAAGTCAGTTAATTCGGTCCAGTGACTAGTCCAGATGCATCTGATGTAGAATTTTAAGGATCCCACATAACAGTGAGACAGCTGATTACAAAAAATTAAAAACACAGTTTCCTAAACAAACATGATCTTTGCAGACCCAAAAGATAAACTAAATACTGAAGAGACATTTATTGTTTTACACGTTTGATTCCTGCTTTGTGTTTTCCAGGATGGGATCCGCAGGAGTTCAGATTGTCTGCGTGGCTCTGGGAGTGGTGGGACTGATCGGGACCATCGTGTGCTGCACCGTCCCTCTCTGGAAAGTCTCGTCCTTCGTAGGCTCCAACATTCTGACTGCTCAGGTAACGTTCTGAAGCAGAGAGCTGCACCTGTCCTATGAGATGATCCCAGAAGTTTTATTTTTTATTTTTTATGGCTGATAGATAAATAAAGTCAACATATGCACTTGCTGGAGTTGGAAGAACCATGTGGAGAAAATAAATAACAAATGAAACCTTTGATGATGTGAACGATGTATGAAAAACTCACTCTAGTCTTTATTGTGTGTGTTTCTGTGAGCAGAACCAAGAGGAGGGTCTATGGATGGAGTGTGTGGTGCAGAGCACTGGGCAGCAGCAGTGCAAGAACTACGACTCGCTGCTGGATCTGTCCTCTGACCTGCAGGCCGCTCGAGCCATGACCATCATCAGCATCATGCTTTGCAGCATCAGCCTCCTCGTCGTGTTCTGCGGTGCCGACTTCACCACATGTGTGCAGAATGAAGGCGCTAAGTCCAAATTGAGCCTGGCGGCAGGCGTGGGCCTGCTGCTGGCCGGGCTCCTGGTGATCATCCCGGTCAGCTGGTCTGCAAATATCACAGTGAGAAACTTCAACGACCCGTTGGTCGCATCTTCCAGGAAAAGAGAGATGGGAGCATGCATCTATGTAGGCTGGGCCTCTGGGGTGCTGCTGCTCCTGGCTGGAGGTCTGCTCTGCTGCTTCAGCAGGCCCAAATCCAGCAGCTCTGCAGGAACCACCAAGTACTACAGCAACAGCGCTTCAGCTCCAGCTCCCAACAAAAACTACGTGTAGAAGCTTCCTGAAAGAGACTGGTGTTTGATAGAACGTCGATCAAAGTAAAAATGACACCAGGGATTGTTTCCAAAGTCACCATGTAAATGCCCAGATCATTGTTTTCATGTTTAACGGTCGGGGTCTGGGGCAGGCAAAAGCAAAGTCTGAACGTTTGAATTATTCACATTCAGCCACGTGTTTAACGTGAGCTATTCCTTCTTCACCAGCTGTAAAACAGTTGGATTCTCTTTATGTTGTAAATGTTTCACCTCAAAATTCACTCTAAAAAGGGCGGAATACGTAAAAAAAAAAAACACAGGAGATGTGAAAAGTGGATTTATAAATAACAAGGTAAACCCTAAAATCAACATTTAAAGTTTAAAAAGTCAAGCTTACGTGTATTAATGAACATTATCTTATAATTATTTTGCATTTGTAATAATTTCTCAGTTCATCTTTTGCTTGATTTTTTTCTTAGAAACATCTAAGCTTCTCAGGAAATGTCTGCTGCAAGTCACATCACTTTGTTCTTTTTTATGTTGTGTGGTGATCAGCACAAATGAATAAACATGTGGGGGTCTGACACACATGTGCATGTTATTTGTTTTGAACAATAAAACAAAGAAGAACATTTTCAAAATACAGAAGACTTTATTTCAAACAAAATGCATATATTAAAATACAGAAATTAAAAAACTGGATCCACAGAGAAAACAAATTCAAGCTTCACGCTAAAACATTTCGTACCAACCATTGTTTTAAAACGACCCTTTATTTAAAAAATGAAGAACAGTTTTTTTCCTATTTCCATTTTGTGTCTGTTTTCTGTTAACTTCTGCTCCAGGTTTCTGTTTTCTGGTTTGAATCCAAACGTCTGCTGTTTAATGCTTGCTCTCCAGCTCCTTCACACGCTTGGTCAGCTCTTCTATGGCTGCTTTCAGGTCCTTCACTTCCTTCCTCAAAGACTGGACCTCCTGAGGGACACACAGCTGTAGCTTATTATCATTTGCAATAATTGCCTGCAGCAGATTTACTACGTAGAACTAATTTTCACACATAATTGAACTATTCTAAGCATAAATGATCAAATTATTATATGCGCACATATGGTTGTGTTTTAAATATGGAGATGCCTTCATGAAACTATCTACTTCACCATAATACTAATATAACAATCTCAGTTAATACACTCACAATGATAGAAATCTATTAGCTGACTTGAAATCATGCACCTAAGGGGGAAAAAAATGTAAAAAATGAAATATCTTTATAGATTTTTTAGGGTGTGTAAGTTAAAAGGTTGAGGTTATTCATGAGTATAAGTGTGATTTTGGTATTTAACATTTTGGTTTAAAGCTGCTGTGGCAAATTTGGAAAACAAATTAGCTTAAAACATTTTTATTTCATGCCTCTTAACAACGTTCTAACAAAATTTTGCTGTAAATGTCTTGTAGAGATAAAAATTAAAATAAAATGAAATTGTGATTCTCTTGCATTTGTCTAAAACCCTCCGCCAATAGCACGTTTCAGACCGAAACCAGTGATCGGACCATCTGGATGTTGGTCTTGCCGAACCGCCGCATTTCCCTGGGTCCTCCGCTCATCACACACTCACGTATTCAGCCATAGAACCTCACTGGTGTGAGAGGTCCTCCGCTCAATATTATCAGAGAAGGAGAAACAGCCGGCTGCTACCACTTCAACTTTAGGACAAACTACCAGAGTCCCAAAAAGAGTCACGGACAAGAAAAGATGTTTGGACCTAGAAAATGGTGACTGGTGTTAAGTTCTATCTGGTTTCATCTTCAAATGTGGGTTTCCGGTTCCGGCAGAAGCATCTCGGGGAAGATACTCGGGAAAAGGGGTGAGTGCGCTTGCTAGCTTGTTCAGTAGATTCGCTAAAGCAGCTTTAAGGGAAGTTGAATTTTAGTATTTTAAAAATATTTGAACTAAAGCGATTGTGAGCTTTTAGAGCCTCACCCCGTTGCTGTCCGGCTGACACCCGGCGGAGGCAGTCGTGGTCTTCAGAAGTCTCTTGTGAACTTTGAACTCCTTGGATTTGGTGGTGGCTGCAAACCCATCTTTCAGGGAAATCAGAATAGGCGGAGCCTCTTTTCCGTCAAACCACTCATCAGCTTCGACCGAAGACTCGGGCCCGATGGTGTCCGGGTAGAGATCCTCCTGGAACAGATCCGACTGCACACACGACAGGGCAGAGTGAGCTGAACACCACTGGAACAACCAGGAAAGTCTGTTTTAACTGGTTAGACTTTACCTTGCGTGGTACTGTCATCACTATAGGTTCACACTTACGCTCATGCAGTTTGTAGAACCTGAAGGCATATTTTTGTATATTTATTCATCAAATAATAAAAGTAAGACGATAAACCTTCCACAACTAGCTAGAATTCAATTTAATTCAGTTTAATTTATATAGCGCCAAATCACGACAAGAGTCGTCTCAAGGCACTTCACATAAAAAACATTCCAATCCAGGTCAGTTCATTAAGCCAATCAGAAAAAAATGTTTCCTATATAAGGAACCCAGCAAATTGCATCAAGTCACTGACTAGTGTCAGTGACTTGATGCAATCCTCATACTATGCAAGCATTTAGCGACAGTGGAGAGGAAAACTCCCTTTTAACAGGAAGAAACCTCCAGAGAATCCTGGCTCAGTATAAGCAGCCATCCTCCACGACTCACTGGGGATCGAGAAGACTGAGAAGACAGAGCAGACACACACACACACACACACACACACACACACACACACACACACGCACACGCATACACACACACCCTTCGGTTGAATATGTGTATTTATACAAAATGAAACGTAATTTAATTGGGATATTTTACAAAAGAGTTCAACACAAGGAATGTGAGAATGTCGCTACAAATGAGAAGTAACACCTGGATGGTGTTGCCAGAAGAAATCCTGAAGGTAAAGTCAGCTGTAGACCTTCCAGGATCTGTGTAAACATGTCTTGTGATTATAGATGTGCAATTCGTGTCTGGATTTAACAGTCATGTGACAAACAAGTCTAGAAGTGCACCACTGCCGCTAGTTTGGAGGATTAGAAAAGCCTCTACCTGGCTATTTCACATTTGTTGACCTCCAGGCCTCTCTTGGGCATGTAGCCCATCCCCTTCTGGCTCTCCTTGCTGCTGTACATGGACAGGTAGTGGACGTAAGGAGCTTCATCTGTCACCTCAAAGTAACGGATACTGCTGTCGCCCTGCGAGGATCACGTTACAGAAAAATCAGCTGCTTGTGTCCATCTCTGCGAGAATCATTTCTACACCTAGATCTGACCTTCCCACAGAGGTAGACGATTCCTGTGTCTGGGTCAAAAAACGGCAGAAGGACGCCGCTGCTGGTGTCCAGCTCCTGCAGGGTCAGAGGTTCTGCAAAGTTGTTCTATAAAGAAGAAACAAACAGCTGTGGTTAGATTTAATCCAAGGGTGATACCAAGAATATCAAAGGCGTGCTGCATCAGGCTGCAGGTGAGTAAAGAATCTGTTTCAGTGAGACAGATGTGGATAATTGCAGAGAAAACACCCTTGCTGCTGTAATGTGGCTGTTGGGAAACACAGATGTTGTAAATAAGGTTACTCCTTAGTGACACACACTTCTATTATCAGTTTGCTTCGTGTTATTAATCAGAATGTTGGTTCAATCAGTTGTGCTTTGAATATGAATCTGCAGTCAGACTGACATAATAAACGATCCAGCCGTAGAGCTAAAAAGCATTCTGTGTTCAGAGTTATAGGCACTGATCAGCCACAACATTAAGACCACTCACATATAACTTTAGAGGAACATTGTTAGAGTCTAAGTTTCAGCTGGAGACACGTTCACATTCTGACTTTAGCATTGATTTAGCTGGATGTAAAAGCTGCATTTTAATTTTTCAAACAAGAAGAATATAGAAGTAAGATGTCCGGGTGATTTTTACAACTTTCAGATAAAAAATCTAATTGGATCTGATGGCATTCCTCGCCCTGGGCTGTCACCTTACCGTGGTGGAGGGGTTTGAGTGCCTCAATGATCCTAGGAGCTAAGTTGTCTGAGCCTTAGCGGTATGATCCTCGGCTACAGAAGCTGGCTCTTGGCACATGGAATGTCACCTCTCTGGTGGGGAAGGAGCCTGAGTTGGTGTATGAGGTTGAGAGGTTCCGACTAGATATAGTCGGACTCACCTCAACGCATGGCTCTGGCTCTGGAACCAGTTTCCTTGAGAGGGGTTGGACTTTCTACCACTCTGGAGTTGCTCCCACTGAGAGGCGCCGAGCAGGGGTAGGCATACTAGTTGCCCCCCATCTTGGTGCCTGTACGTTGGGGTTTACCCCAGTGAATGAGGGTAGGCTCCCTCCCCGTGTGGGGGGACGGGTTCTGACTGTGGTCTGTGCTTATGCACCAAACTACAGTTCAGACTACCCACCCTTTTTGGAGACCTTGGAGGGGGTGCTGGAGAGTGCTCCATCCGGTGACTCCCTCGTTCTGCTGGGGGACTTTAACGCTCACTTGGGCAACGACAGTGAGACCTGGAGAGGTGTGGTTGGGAGGAACGGCCCCCCGATCTGAATTCGAGTGGTGTTTTGTTTGTTTTTGGACTTCTGTGCCAGTCATGGATTGTCCATAATGAACACTGTGTTCAGACATAAAGGTGACCATATGTGCCCTTAGGCCACAGCTCGATGATCGAATTTGTTGTTGTTTTATCTGACCTGCGGCCGCATGTCTTGGACACTCGGGTGAAGAGAGGGGCAGAGCTGTCAACTGACCACTACCTGGTGGTGAGTTGGCTCAGATGGTGGGAGAGGATGCCGGTCAGACCAGGCAGGCCCAAACATATTGCGAGGGTCTGCTGGGAATGTTCTGGGGGAGGCGGGGGACACTGAGTCTGAATGGACCCTGTTCCATGCCACCATTGTTGAGGCGGCCGACCGGAGCTGTGGTCGCAGGATCGTCGGTGCCTGTCGTGGTGGCAACCCCCAAACCAGCTGGTGGACACCGGCGGTTAGGGATGCTGTCAAGCTGAAGAAAGAGTCCTATCAGGTCTTTTTGGCCTGTGGGACTCTAGAGGCAGCTGACCGGCAGTCCAAGCGAAACGTGGCTCGGGTGGTTGCCAAGGCAAAAACTCGGGCATGGGAGGAGTTCGGTGAGACCATGGAGCAAGACTTCCGTACGGCTTTGAGGAGATTCTGGTCCACCATCCGGCGCCTCAGGGGGGAAAGCAGTGCACTACCAACACTATCTATAGTGGGGACGGTGTGCTGCTGACCTCTACTCAGGACGTTGTGAATCGGTGGGCAGAATACTTCGAAGACCTCCTCAATCCCACCGACATGTCTTCCAGTGCAGAGTCTGGGGACTTTGAGTTGGCCTCTCAAATCTCTGCTGCTGAGGTCACCGAGGTGGTTAAAAAGCTCCTCTGTGGCAAGGCTCCAGTGGATGAGATCCACCCGGAGTTCCTTAAGGTTCTGGATGTTGTGGGCTGTGTTAGCTGACGCGGCTCTGCAATATTGCGTGGACATCGGGGGCAGTCCCGCTGGACTGGCAGACCGGGGTGGTGGTTCCCTTATTTAAAAAGGGGGCCGCAGGGTGTGTTCCAACTACAGGGAGATCACACTCCTGAGCCTTCCTGGTAAGGTCTATTCAGGGGTTCTGGAGAGGAGGGTCCGTCGGATTGTTGAACCTCAGATTCAGGAGGAGCAGTGTGGTTTTCGTCCTGGCCATGGAACATTGGACCAGCTCTATACCCTTAGGGGGGATCCTGGAGGGTGCGTGGGAATTTGCCCAACCAGTCTACGTGTTTTGCGGATTGGGAGAAGGCGTTTGACCGCGTCCCTTGGGGCCCCTGTTGGGGGTACTCCGTGAGTATGAGGTACCAGGCCCTCTGATATGGGCTGTTAGGTCCCTGCATGACCGGTGTCGGAGCTTGGTCCGCATTGCCGGCAGTAAGTCTGGCTCATTACCAGTGAGAGTTGGACTCCGCCAAGGCTGCCCTTTGTCACCGATTCTGTTCATAACCTTTATGGACAGGATTTCTAGGCGCAGCTAAGGTGTGGAGGGCATCTGTTTTGGTGGCCTGGGGATCAGGTCTCTGCTTTTTGCAGATGATGTGGTCCTGTTAGCTTCATCAGAACGTGATCTTCAGCTTTCACTGGAGCGGTTTGCAGCCGAGTGTGAAGCAGCTGGGATGAGAATCAGCTCCTCTAAATCTGAGACAATGGTCTTGCTTCAGAAAAGGGTAGAATGCCTTCTCCGGGTCAGGGATGAGGTCCTGCCCCAAGTGGAGGAGTTTAAGTATCTCGGGGTCTTGTTCACGAGTGAGGGAAAACTGGAGCGTGAGATCGATAGGCAGATTGGTGCTGCGTCTGCAGTGAGGCAGGCATTGAACTGGTCTGTTGTGGTGAAGAGAAAGCTGAGTCGGAAGGCGAAGCTCTCGATTTACCGGTCGATCTACGTTCCTACCCTCACCTATGGTCATGAGCTTTGGGTAATGACCGAAAGAACGAGATCACAGCCGAAATTAGATTTCTCTGCATGGTGGCTGGACTCCCTCAGAGATAGGGTGAGAAGTTTGGTCATCCTGGAGGGGCTCGGAGTAGACCCGCTGCTCCACATCAGGAGGAGCCAGTTGAGGTGGCTAGGGCATCTGGTCAGGATGCCTCCTGGACGCCTCGCTGGTGAGGTTTTCCGGGCACATCCAACCGGGAGGAGGCCTAAAGGTAGACCCAGGACACTTTGGAGGGACTATGTCTATCACCTGGCCAGGGAACGCTTTGGGATTCCCCCGGAGGAGCTCGCCCAAGTGGCTGGGGAGAGGGAAGTCTGGACTTCTCAACTTAGGCTACTGCCACTGCAACCTGACTCCAGATGAGTGGATGAAAATGGATGGATGGATGGATGGATGGATGGATGGATGGATGGATGGATGGATGGATGATGGATGGATGGATGGATGGATGGATGGATGGGCATTGATTGCAAAAAAGTTGAGATTTAAACTCCAACCCTCAGTGAAAGGATTCTTCTCATGGTCCCACGAGGGTCCCACGCAAAAGTACTTACTGTTGTTTGTTACATTAAAAAGGAAATACAACAACTGTGTGGATATTTTTAAATGATCTCTATAAAAGTAGGTTGAGTGATGAAGTCTGAGAGTTGTTTGCACTCACTGGATCCCACAGCGCCACCTGCCTCTCACTCATGCGACTGAAGCCAGTGCTGAGGATCTTCCCGTCAGACACGAACACGGCCCTGATGGGCCTGGAGCCCTCGTGAGTTTTCTCCTTCTCCTGCAGCGAAGGAGCCAAACAGAACATGGATTTGAAATATTCTGACAACTTTTCCTGTCAGTGTAGAGCTGACAAACAGATTAGGACATAAGGCGTCACTTACAGGCAGTCAACAGTAACAACTTTACAATACTACCTCACTGTTTAATTATTTTCTGAAATCATGATCATATGATCATAAAATATGATGTGCCAGAGATAAAAAAATCTAAATCTAATTGGGCTTTATTTTGTTGCTTTAAGGTACAATTTAGAAAATAAATAACACATCAGTGAATTGGAATCAGTGGATCTTTATTTTAGGATGATCAGTTTAATCGGTTAAATTTTATTTCTTTATTGATGTTTTATTTGGTCTGTGAAGTCACCAGTGTTTGTCACTAAAATGCATTTAAATGCATAACATTTTAAAGTTAATCAAAAATGTGAACACAAAAATTGTGGTTTCGGTTAACTATATTTGGAAGAAATCACAATCAGCCAAGTTGGTCTCAGCAGATCAGAGCTGCAACACACACACACACACATGCACAACTCACGCACGCATGCACACACACACACACACACACACACACATGGACGCAAACATTAATGTACACACACACACACATGCATGCATGCACACACACACACACACACACACTCACGCACGCATGCACGCACACACGCACACACACACATGCACAACTCACACACGCATGCACACACACACGGATGCACACATTAATGTACACACACCCACACATGCGCTCACACACACTCACAGACGCACATTTGCACGCACGCACAACCATGCATGCACGAGCATTCACACACCTATGCTCACACACACACACACACACACACACACACACACACACACACACACACACACACACACACACACACACACACACACACACACACACACACACTCCAGGGAAGTATGGTTTGATGAACAGACTCACGGAGATGACAGTGCCTTTGCGTGGGTCCAGAACCCGCAGGGTCTTGTCTTTACAGGCAGTGAGTATCCTGGAGCCATCTCTGTTCCAACAGGCGCTGTAGATGAGGTCAGGGTGCACGCTGTCAATCCTCACCACTGCTTCTCCTCGAGCCACGTTCCACAGAATCACAACATTATCACAGCCTGCACGAGTGAAACGAGGACCACAGCTTGACTCACAAGGAAAATCCTAACAGCTAAAATTTCAGCGTCAATTCTTGGGAGGTTAACACATTTTTAATGCTTCAGCTGTGTTCGTAACAAACACATCAGAGGAGATTGTTGCCATGGCTACAGAGTCACTGTAGCTGCTGGACATGCCGTCCCGGGTGATTCAGTACTGCATTGATAAAAGCTGATAAGTGGAAGGGAAACATGATGGGACAATCACAGCCTGTCACAGCTAATAACTGTGATTCAAATAAAAGATTCAGGTTGCAATCTGTTCTCTTAAGTATTAAAATGACATTTTGGTGCTCAGAGTGAAGGGAGTGGGTGGAGGCTGTGGGAGCTTCCTCTTTAGTAAAACCTTTGTGAGGCGTGAGTGATATAAATTACATTTCTGTCTGGTTCCTGAAATCAAGTAAGACCCAGAAGTTCCCTGAAGCTGCAGCACGTTTGTGGTTTTACCTGCACTCATCAGCACGTTGCGGGCAGTGGGATGCCAGCTCAGGATGCCCACCCGTTTGGAGTGACCCTCCAGTTTGACAACAGGCTCTGTAATGGACGAGGTCAGCCCGCCTTCTGGGATCTCCCAAATCTGTTCAACAAGAACACCACGGGCATCACCCGCAACAGTTCACATCCTAACAACCATTAAAGGGACGATATGGCTTTACCATGACACTGCAGTCCTCAGAGCCACTGGCAATGATGTTGTCATTGTGAGGACAGAACTCAATGTCCAGAACCGGACCTGTGTGGCCACATACAGTTGGGTAGGACATGTCAATGCGTCCTGTCTGCAGATAGAAACATTAGAAAGGATGCTGATGACAAAGAAAATGCACTTTTTATTCCAAAAAGATCTAAGGAAGCAATTGAAGACAAGGTGAAGAAAGAGAAGGAAGTGACTGTCAGCTGAGAGAAATTCCACAGTTTTTCATCAATTGCACCTAATGTCTGGTAACCAGGTCAACGAGCCGATCGGGGCCTGGACAACGAAACTCTATTTGTGTGTGCAAGAAAAACACGAGAGAAACCGAAACATTACAGATCAAAAGGTACATTCACCCAGTAAATAACGGCATCCAGCCTTGTGTGTGCAGACAGGTTCGTGTGAGACTCAGGAGTGCAGTTCTGTGAAATTCTCTTCTCATTTTGACGAGTAACAAAATGAGAGAGCAAATAGCAAAATCCCTGCAGATAAGAAGCTTCTGAAGAGAAAAAAGTCAAATCACGATGATGATGTTGGAACGACGTTGGTAAGCAAAAGGAGACATTTATGAAATGACTCAAAAGACTGATTCGTACGTACTCATTTGCACAAACAGAGACAGAGAACGTCCTTCATGCATCTGCTGAGACAGTAGCTACACTTTTAAAAACTGAAACGATGAATTATCTTAACCAAGTTATGGCTCCACTAAATCATTTGCTTAAATGTGAAAAGCGGTATACATTGTTATACGTTGTTATGTTAAACGTAAATGTGATCATCCTCTTTACGTTTAAGCAGCTGGGTTTGGACGAAGCGTTGACATAACTCGGGTGAGTTAATTAAAAGGTGTAATTACTTAGAGCGTACCGATGAAGCTTCCTGAGACTGTCTCACCCCCCTCAGACAAATCTCAAATATTCTTTATTTTTTGCACATTCAGATTAAAGATTAGATTAACATTTTTCTCAATCTCTTCAAAGACTTTTTCATAAACTCTGAGAGACTGTGCTGTGATGTCACGCTCAGTAAAATGTTGCGAGGAGCTTTTATCACACCTAAAACGGTTCAAAGGAGGCAGCAGAAGAAGCGGGTAGAGGCCACATCCTGTCCTCCTGCACTGAGATGACAACAAACTCCTAATATGGTGAAAACTCAAAAGCTGCACCAGTGACGTGTTGAAAGACTCAGACTTCCTTATCCACATGATAATGTGATGCTAAATGTTGTGTTTGAACTGTAAAATGTGACAACTGGGTCAAAACTAGACAGCTTGCATTAAATGTGGTCATAAATGGTAGAAGACAAGAGAGTTTCGTCTTTTATTTCACTAGTGTGCCCTGTGACCCACCTTGTTTAGGGGCAGAACCATGAACGCTCCTCCACCGCTGGCATCCACAATCATGGCCACAAATTTGGGGTTAACGGTGCAGAAGTTGCTGTCCCATGTCATCTGGGAGATCCGGATGTCGTCGTAGCATTGGTCGGCTTTGTTGGCCTGACCAAAGACGTGACGGAACTTACTGGACCTCACAACCTTCCTCAACATGGTGAACTGGGGGAAAAGTAAGAGTTCCTCTGGATGAAAGCAGCAGTTTTAACATGCAGGAAGTGAGCGTAACAGGTCCATTTCAAATGCGTTTCTACTACTACTTTCTGTGATGTGTCTGGTCGGTGGGCTGGTGGTGATTTCATGTAGGACCCTAAGCTGACAGCCCAGCAGAAAGACACAGGAAAGGCTGAAAATGGGGAAGCAAAAGCTTTCACAACTGCTTCCTCTAGCCCGTCTGCCTCTTCTCTCTTTAATCTGTGCTCTGCTAAAGTGATCGTGTACGCTGCAGCAGGGTAGCAGAATAGAAAAGCACACAAAAACCTGCTTTTCTGATTAGTCTGAGCTCCGCCTGTGAGTTTGAAAAGGTGAAGCAAAGCGGCAGTTAAACCACATCCTTGAGTCATGAAAACCACAAACCTGACTTCCGTCCAGTTTCCATCCCTGACTTTTCAACCAGCCTTCCTCAAAACACACATTTTAATAGCAACAATCATCATCATCATCACAATGATAATAGTGGAGAAACAGCGGTTTTGTTGTGCACATCCGTAAACTAAATCAGGCTCTGTGCTGGCGTCAGATGATCCAAAATTCAATCACAATCAGCAGCAAACTAAACAACGTCTGCAGGACTTTACTTCAGCACACCTTATAAAAACAGATGCTGTATTTTACCTCCATTTGTAGAATTTACTTCCTGAAATCTGCAGCCGCGTCTAAGCTCACCCTCAGAAACAGCTTTGCTGCATGTGCATCACAAGACATCTGAGGCTGTCCTGCAGCTAATTCAATAACCTCTCTGTAAAATGAGCTGTAATTATATCACCAGCCTAAATGCACGTCAATAATCCGCCTCTGCTACTGTGACTCTGTTTGGATGGAAAACACGCTCAAAGTAACAATCCACCCTGTGAAACGGGAGAAACTCAAGTCATGAGGAACACGGGGGAGAGCGATCACGGGCAGTCTGGTTTTCACGTCCTGCTGAGATGTCTCCAGAGATGTGTGGCAGGTGTGCAGGAGCTGCACGGAAGATGCTGCAGGCTTACCTGGGAGTCGCGCGGGGAGATTCAGCTGGAGGAGTTTCAGCAGCAGCTGCAACAAGCACTCTGCCTCCAGTGAAGACGGTAGGTTAAAGTACATCACAAACTCACATAAAGGAAGTGAAATTTCAAACGAAGGTGGAAGTGGGAGGTGTCTGACTGACATTTTAGGGTTTAAAAAATGCAGAGTACAGTGTGAAAACCCGTTTCAGGAGATTATTTGTGGGGTTAGGGGAGAGAAAATATTTGTTTTTATTTCATTTCAATCTTGCAAAGGATTATAATTAAATCAGAAGTGTTTAAACACACACTTTGCAGCTATGTTTAACTGAAAGTAAATCAAGTTTTCAGTTGAAATGTTTTACACACTATAGGGGGGATGAGCATCATCTCAAATGGGTCTAATAATTCAGGTAAAGACAATTGTAGAAAAACATTGTCACCTGATGTCTCCAAATGTGAAAGCAATGCGTGAAAATGCGAGATGCGAGTGCATCTGAAGCTGCTGCAGCTGATCATGAGCTCCTTTAGAGATGCAGGAGTCTTGTCCGTGTGTGAGACAACACAAACCAAGTTAGTGCTCAGAGAACGCGCCAAAAATATCACAAGATATGACAAGGCCCCTTTCGGGAGGTTAAAGGTCAAAGTTCATCAAAAAGCCAGGGGTGTGGCCTGTTTTGGGTGGGTTGCAAACTCCTGGAACATTGGTCTTTAGACATGGGTGACCAAATAGGAGATGTTTACCCATAATGCACAGCAGCACATTCAGAGAAACAAAATGTCATGTCATCAAAAAAGCATGTTTTCTTCTAGGCCATACACACACACACACACACACACACACACACACACATGCATGAGTACACAAACACACAAAGACAAACACACACATGCATGCACACACATGCATGAGCACACACACACATACACACACATGCATGCACACACATACACACACATGCATGAGCACACACACACACACAAAGACAAACACACACATGCATGCACACACACACACACATACACACACACATGCATGAGTACACACACACACAAAGACAAACACACACATGAATGAGCACACACACACACACACACACACACACACACACACACACACACACACACACACACACTCACACA